TACCTTCTGTGTGTAGGAGATTCTTAGTTTGTGTCTGTCCCAAGATCCTATCTTCCCAATTAGTTGAGAGTGGAATGTTGGTTTCTCTTTGGCTCAGATCCTAATCTTTTGGTGTAGGGCTGTGGTGAGGTTATTACCCCAGAGCTTCCCAATATTGTTTCACAAGGGAAAACAACTGCTTACAACAGATGTGACATCCTAGCTACAGCAGTACAATTAGCAATAATAATAGCATCAAGCACAATTTAGAAATTGACAAACTGTGGTAATTATTAATTTTATACTTTAGACCATAGGAGCAAAGTCTATAGTTATATAACAGAACCAATAGCACATTAGGAGTTTGTATGCAAAGTGTTTCATCTTGTTAGAGTGGATTTACCCTGGGTTCCTCCGGATTAGCTGGCTGTCATGTCCCAGGCATTTCCCACACAGGCTGCTCCCACACAGGCTGCCCTCTGTGGTGTAAGAGGATGGGTCAGGCCCCTGGGTTCCTCTGGACTGTGGCTCCCATGAATGTGCAGGGGCAGTGGGCAGGTTTCTCCACTCCCTCTGGACTGTGGCTCACCTAGTTTCTTACGATGGCAGAGGGATAGTGGGTGGGGTCTTTCCCCTGTTACTTTTATTTTGAAGCAGCAATTTATTCACTACAACTTAAATGAGTCAAGGCCTTCTTGATTGGACGTACTAAAGCAAGAACTTGGTGAATAAGCAGGACAATAAGGAAACTGCAAAAGTATGGACAGAAGAAATAACTGAAGTTTTCACTAAATAAATTAACAATTTTAAGAATTTTACAGTGGATAGCAATAGCTTGTTTCATCACATTGTAAGTGGTAAGGCAGCAAGCAGTCTTGTGCCCAGCCAGCAACAGGGATGCCAGGGACTCTGGAGGGTATTTATATGATGCAGCCTACCATGGAATGATGACTCAGCAGCAATTCTTCATGAGGAGGAGACTGTGAGTATTAACTAAGGCATGATGCTTGTCATTTTTAAAAGTGAAACACAGGCTGAGCTCAATGCTGGCCAAGCTTGCCTTTGGGCCCTCCTCCCTCTTCCATTTCTGTAACCTTCTCTAGTCTTTTCTGCACCTTTGTATTTCCTCAGAGCCTCCTCTTTGCCACATACATCTAGATCTGCCTCAACCTAAATTTTCCCAGGGCTCCATAAAAGAACTACAAGCGTTCCCTTCCTCACCTCCTCTATCTATTTATATTTAGGGTGTTAAGTTATTCAGAGAAAAAAATGGAGGATTCAGTCAATCTACATCCAACAACTAGGTAAGCATTTCTCAAATTAGCGTGCAAGCACATAATCCTACAGTTTTGAGAGGTCTATGGGAATTAGTTAGCTAATATTTTTTGAACACTTATTATGTGCTGTCTTTACTTAGCTGCTCGGGTTCACTGTAACCCTGTAAAGCAGAAGCCTGTGTTTCCATTTAACAGGTTAGTAAACTGAGTATCATGATTTTATCTCCATCAGATAGACGAGTAAGGATGAAACGGTTGACTTATTAGCTCAAAGTTACACTGCTAATAAACTGTAGTATTAGGACTCAAATCTGATCAGTCTGGATTTAGACTTGATGCTTTCAACCACTTTGCAATGATGTCATTTGAGGTTCAGCTGGAACTGAGACGAGCTCATGCATGTCTACTACTTATCTGGGACTCCTCCTCCAAGTAGTCTTTCGAGTAGGATACCTCAGGCTTCTTTGTATGGCAGCTGTACTCCAACAGGGGCAATGTCATGTGGAAATCACTGGGGAGTGGAGGGGAGAGGGGACAAGAATAGGACCTTCCAGGTCACGCCCCCAGTGACCTCCTCTAACCAGGCCCCACCTTCTAACAGCACATGCAGCTGTGCACTTACCAATGGGTGAATCCATGGATGAGTACAGTGCCCCCACGATTCAATCCCCTACAAACCCCACCCACTAACACATGTTACCTTTTGGGGACATTTTACATCTGAACTATAACACCCACCATACGTCTGCTTTGTTGGAGAGATGAGGGGCAATTGCACCTTGTCAAAATGTAGCTGGTCATTAACAGTCTGAGTCTATTGAGATTATCTGCTTTTCTTGGAAAGAGGTATTATGGGGCCATAATAGGGCTACAATGGGGGTTACCAATAAATTTCCAATTTAGGTGTGACATAGCTGGCAATCTAGAGGTAGTATGAGCTGTGCCTCTTTAATGTTTAAAGTTCACTTATCTTTCCACCCCTTTCTGTATAAAGCAGCACTCTCACTTCTTACATTTTTTATCTATGTTCAACATATATCCATTTATTCTAGGTATAATACATATCATAAATGATATGCTTCTATAGTTTAGCTTTTGCTACTACTTTATATGTAACAGGATTGAATATTCTCAAATAATACAGCAAGATATTACTGTAAGCTGTGATGAGCAAATACCAGATCAGGCTTGTTATGTCTCATTTATTGGCCAAAGCAAGCCACATGGCCAAACCCACAGTTAATGTAGAAGTGAACTACACAATGGAGTGGAAAAGCTGGATTCACTGAGGATCACTATTATTAGCAATCTATCACTAACTCATAGGTAGACAATAATAAATCTGGGATCACACTTTCTCCTACAGACTGTTGGGGATGAGTTCTTACAGAGAAGTTATTTAAAACCTCATTGCTGGACCAGGGATGTAGCTCAGCGGCACAAGCGCTTGCCTGGCAAGCGCAAGGTCCTGAGTTTGATTTCTGGTACCAAAAAAAAAAAAAAAAGAAAACAAACCTCATTTCCCAGCCTCAACCCAAGCCCAGTGAATCAGAATCTTTTATGTATGCGGGGTTTCCTGTGCTTGGAGAGGACAATCATCTCAGGCAACTGAGACTGAAAACTGCAGGGGATTCCAGGATACATGGGGTTTGGGGTTCTAAGACAAGACACAGTTCCTACACTCAAAAAGCTGGCATTTTCCATAGGGTTTTTGGGGGTTGTTTTTGTAACAGGTAATGAAGCCAGGGCCTTCTCAATGAGCAATACTCCACCCCTTTTCAAAAATTAATTTTGAGATAGATAGCGTCTCACTAAGTTGCTCAGGTGAGACTCAAACTTGGAATCTTCCTTCCTCAACCTTCCAAGAGCTGAGATTACAAGGCTGTAGCACCACCACACCCAACCATAGAGAACATCCTTAACTGTCATGCCACAGAGATGAAATTTGCCAAGAAGCATTCCATACTTCTTGAAGTGAGAGCAACAGTTTTCAAACTTACGGGAGCATCAGTTTTAATTGGAGGGTTTCTTAAAACACAGTGGATAGGGCCCTTCTGCATATTAGTTTAGATCATCTCTAGATTATTTATCCTTAACACAGTGTAAACACTGCAGAAACAGCGCTTATATATTGTATTAGTAAGTGAATAACGAGAAAAAAATCTGTACCTGTTCAGTGCAGATAGAATGTTTTCAAATATGACTGATCCTGCAGACCCAGAACCCCAGAGGCCACAGCAAGGGCTGATTGTATCGCACTTACATACTTAATAGCACAAGGTTCTGGGCTGGGTGCCCCAGTGGCTATGATAAAGAGATTTAATCTCGATTTCATTTGAGCAGATTTATTGTCTAAGTGGATTTATTACCTAAGACCGAGTGCCTAAGTGTCATTAGGCTCAGATAAAATGTATCGAAGAGATAAGGGAAAGCCTCCTGCAGTAGAAGACCCTTTGACACAGGCTTTGAAGCTGGCTTAGAGCCGGACTCCTAGAAATCCTGTAGAATCGCAGTTCTTTCTGCCTCAGAATGGAGAGTAATCCAAAATCCAAAACAAGACAAAACAAGACACAGCAAAACACCCACAAGCAAGGATCCAGAAGAGGCCCGTGACACTGCTGCCTGGGGCTCCAGCATCAGCGATCTGCAAGCCGGCTGCTTACAGGTCGGGGCAGGAGCGGGTGTTCTCTTCCTGGACCGCAGTCTCAAACCCCCCTCCTCGGGACGGACCCGGCCCGCCTCCCCGTGGGAGCACCCTCCCCGGGCGGCGCCTCAGTGGCGGGGGTCCCGGCCTCGGTGGGCGCTGACCTGGCAAAGGGAGCGGCTGGGCGCTGTGTTCCCCGAAGGCCTGCGCGGGGCACTGCGACTAGGGCGAACCGGGCTGCAACGCGGGGGCCCGGCTCAGAGCAAGATCCAGATTTAGGATGGTGCGGGGTGGGTGGGCAGCTGCACAACCTGGCCGGGAGAGGGGTCCAAAGCTCGTTCTCCCCATCCGCGAGGGAGGAACTGGCGGCGGCGGGTGCCCGAACACTAGGGGCGCTCCTTCCCCTCCATCTTGGCACGCCGGGGGACGGGGACGCGCGCTCTCCTTCCCGGGCGGGCGCGGCCCTAGGCCAGTGCTCTGCGCCTGCGCCCGCGCCGCCCCGCCCGCCCC